GCACTGTCAGGGTGCGCCCAGATCACTTTAGAGGATATTCGTATGTGCCTACCTCAACAAGTTGCAGTTGATAGAGTAGAGGTGGTTCGGGAAAGTCCAGGTATTCATTGGAATCAGATTTATATGGATATTCGTATGAATAGGTATGATAAGGAGAATAACAAAAAAGAGGTGGCGTTATGTTTGGGGCAGGGGAGAGGAGGGGGGAGAGGAGGGCACAGGATGGCAGTGATGGATGATGGATGATGGATGATGGAAGAAGAAGGGGAGGAGGAGGAGAGGAGGAGAAGGAGAAAAAAAAAGAAGAAGAGCACTTGGGGACAGCCTCAGGCAAACGTTCGGGCGGGGGAGGGGGCAAGAAAAGTGTGCAAGTGGGCAGCGCGGCGGAGACATGAAGGATGATATAGAAGCGGCATAGCACGGCCGCGAGCATCAGCAGTGAATATCTTCTGGGTGGGATGGCATTTTTTGTTCTTTGCAGACATCTGTCAGGGCGAGCCATGGGCGCGGTGGACAAGAGGATGTGCTGCAGGGCTGCGCCGGCGATGACGGGCCACGATGACGGCAGCCGGGCGAGCAGCACAGCCAATGCACGACCGGTGGATGAGCATGGCTGGGTCTGAGCACCGTCACGATGCGAGGCTCGCGCAAAGGGAGGCTGGTGTGTTGGAGTGAGGTGAGCAACAGAGCGAGGGCTCAGGACTGGCCTCTGGAGCAGAACAAACATTGGCGTTAGGTAGCGAATCGTCGGCCATTTATTTTTGGTGTGGCTTGCAGCCAACCTTAATTCCACATCCCTGTCGCCGTTTGCACATCGCCAGAAAGCCGTGCCCCCCCCCCCTTCTCCCACCCCACGGACGACAATGAGCCCCCAGTGCGGACAGTAAGTATTCTCTTTCACCGTCTCTCTCTCTCTCTCTCTGTCCATTTCTATCAGTCTCTCTTTCTTGCTCTCAGATCCTCTCTAGGCCCAGACACACACATCACAATGCTGCCTGTCCCCTCCTTCGGCCCCAAGGCACGGCGACGAACTGCTTAGATGATGATGATGATGATGATGATGATGATGATGATGATGATGATGTACCTAGGTAGCTACCTACCTGCCTATGGATGTGCTGGAGGGGCGGGCCAAGGGAGTAGCAACAGTTTGTCCCACCATGGCGCTCTTTTGTGTGCTCGACGGCCATGAAGTGGACGCTGTGATTGATGGTAGGTACAGAACAGTACGATAGGTACCGTACCGTATAGGTACAGCAGAGATTACAATGTAGTCACTACCACTCCACACTACAGTTGCTACCTACTGGCTACTACTACCACTACATGCTACAGAAACGACGCACTTGCCACTAGCTGCCCATGGTTGGTCCCGGCTCCTTCCTTCGCATCGCGTCGCCGCTTCCTCCGTCTAAAGGCCGCTGCGCCGGGGAAAGGGAAGGAGCGGAGCCAGCGGAGCCAAACGGGCAGCCGTGCGGGTTGCTCCTTCGCTTGTACCAATTTTGTACAGGCAGCGAGATGAGGCTGAACAGGAAGGAACAGTTGCGCGGAGATGAAACCGACGGGGCGTGTTTGGCTGTGGCCTGACGTCTTTGCTTTGCTCCTGCTGCCGCTGCTGCCCATGGATGGCAAACGGGGCAGGCGCTCCTTGCCCCATCACATGACTTGGCCCATTACAGCCTAGCCTACTGTACAATAGCTTCCTCCACACAGGCACCCACCGTACACACCGTATCTACCTGAAGTCATGGATACTGTATACGGTACAACTCCATCACCTCTCACCCTTCACTCATCATCCATCACCCACACGACACCTCCATAACTTTTACACAGTAGCCTTCTCCCTACCTTTTCCAATAATACTTCTCGTCACCTCCAACACGCTCCACCGCCACCACCACCACCACCACCACCACACCACCACGCTCCCTTGCGAAGGCTGACTGATTCGCTGCCC